AAGCCTAGGTGGGAGGCAGACCAACAGTGAGCAACTGAGGCAGTGAAAGTACGTCCTCTAACACACAAACCTTATCAGTCACACACACTGCAAGGCAAAGATAAGCAGCAGTACCTGTTCTCTGGTAGAAAGACCTTCTGACTTTGCCAGGGATTTCTGCTTCTAACACCTAAATTGTGAATTTGAAGTGAATTCGGTGCAGGAGGAAGGAGTGAAGTTAATCTGCCTGTAGGTGGCAGAAGTTCTAGCAGAAAGCTTCTGTCATCTCAGTAAGGAGCAGTGGAGAGCTGGTGAGCTTTACATCTCCAAACAGTTCGTGCAGAAAGGGCATGGCAGGACATACAGCAGTGCCAGGAGGACTGTCCTTGTCCTGTGACAGGTCACAGTGTCTTTGAGTCAGCTCAAACCAGCTGAGGAATTCCAGGGGTTGTCATAGGAAGCAACTAGACTCCTTTTCATTGGGCGTAACTATTGTCAAAGTAGTGAAACGTTACTAAAATTGCCGTTCCATTTTTAAAGCAGACACATTTTAAAAATCTTTTGGAGTCAGGCAGAAAAATAAACATTCAGCTTACTTCCTCAGAACTGGACTTGCTGTTAAGTTTCATTTGTCTTGTGTTAGGGCACAATGCAGTGAGCACTTGTGCTTGCAAATAGTCCTATGGACTAAAACTGGGGCTGTGAACACTGAAATAAAGCATATTTGTAAATGTTTCAGGGAATTCCAAAATATCTGAGAGATGACTTTTACTTGTAATACACCGAGTGCTCAGTCTTGTTTTCTGCATCAACAAAATGAGTAAGTTCACTTTCCTGCCATGATTTTCAGCTGGAACACCACTTTTGTTGCAAATGCTGATCAGGCTGTATAGTATCAGTGTCTTCCACATGCATTACTATTCCATTTCAAAAATTTCAATGCGCTTGGTTCAAATTTGCAGCTTTTGGCCCATAATTCCATGAAGCTTCCCAGAAAAAACAGAAAGAATTTGGTCCTACCCTCCCCTTTGCTTTTAATTAAAATGTGTATTTTTCTTTGCAGCTCATCCAACTTTCATTTAAACTCCTTCAGAATCTGCACATTCCTGCCTTTGAGCAATTACTTTATTCCACCACTTTAAGTCACGATAACAAAGATCTAACTCGGATTTCTTCTCAGTGTCCTTTGTACCGATGACTAATCGCAGGAAGACCCTTTAGCTTCTAAGCAGCATCCTTATCTTCTCTACAATCATGTAAACTTCTGTTAATACAGTGCCCCAGCAAGACCTTCCTTCACGTCTGCCATCATTTTTTTTTCAGACCGCCATCACTTCAGTTGCCACGCCCTTTAGCTATGTGTTTATTGTTTCCATCGGGGGCTTCTCAGTTTCTTTGAGTCACTGGCTAAACTGTCTTTCTTCTGCCCTGAGCTTACTCTGGCAACGTTCACCACAAGTTTGGGCACAACACCCCGATGGCCACACTGCCCAATGGGAGGAGGGCGCTCATCAGAAAATTTGGGCACACAGCTGCTCACGGAGGCCCAGCACACACCCGTAACTCCCCCAGCTAAACCACTGGGAGCGTGTACTTATCCCACACTCCCCACAAAATATTTGCCCGCCTCTCCGCGCACAAAAAAGCC